CTATAATTTGTGTTCTTGGGTATAAAATGGACCGGAGCTCTCCGCTCTCCGTGTCATGACCAGAATACCAATAACGGGCTTTTGGCTGTGATGAGGATTGTGGATGAGAGGAAACTGTTACCGCTGTGCTTCAGCTGTGTGTGTGTGTGTCACATTCTTAATCAGGAGGTGAGAGAAATGTCTGAGAGGAGAGTGGACGGAAGACTGAGGGCTGGAAATAGGGATGTCATGACACTTTGACTGCTCGCTGAACCGCATTCCGGCAGAGCGGATGAAACGTATCTCGTCTCGTTTTTAACACCGTATGAGATTATATCACAAAAACGGCACAAATCAGAGACATCAACAGGCTGTAGATTGTAGATGTTCATGTGACATTCGCTACATGAGTCATCCTTAGACTCACCCGTAACGCCTTTAATATTGTCAGCTTTTCATCTCGCCTTTGCACCGTTGTCTTTATTCCTGTAGGTAACATAATGCAGATTGTGATTCATTTTTCCCAGTTACACATTAGTTTGCTCTTTCTTTTAGCACATCTCACAGCCAGACTGCTACAGCCTCGGGGTCGGCTGGTTTTCTTACTCGAGTTTTGCCACAGATGTTCTGCTTCTTTCCCGAGGAAAACAGGTCACAGGTGCTGTTGTTACTTAAGCTTAATTACTGTGGATAGCTGCTGCCTCTTGAATGCCAAGGCATCATAAGAGCAGGGATAAATCGCTCAGCGCGCTCCTCTGGGATGCATTTACGCTGGATCTATAACGATGATGCCGTATTTGATCTATAAGTATGAAGGTTGGTAAACCAAGACCTTCACTGCCTCTTTATCCAAAAGGCATTTTTGTTTTATTGCGTCGCCATCCCCGAGCAGCCTCCTCCATCTGGACGCTGCCCACTGAGATGCTTTATATTATGGATCAGAAGAGCGTCTCATCTGCCTCGTATGCCGTCCACATCAGAGGGATTTCACACAGAAAATAAGAAGAGCTAACGCACACGGACAGAAAACACGGACCGATCAGCCACAACATTCAAACCACCGACAGCTGAAGTGAATAACACTGATCGTCTTGTTACTATGGCACCTGTGAAGAAGTGGGATATATTAGGCAGCGAGTGAACAGTCAGTTCTTGGAGTTGATGTGTCGAAAGCAGGAAAAATGAGCAAGAGACTTTGTCAGAGGCCAAATTGTGATGGCTGGACCGGACTGGAGTGTCGGTATCAGTCATTTACTTGTGGAAGAGGTGGCAGCAGGATGGGAAGAAGCCAAGCTGGTGGAGGAAATGTGATGCTCTGGGAAACAGTGGATCCCGCATTTGTACCACCAACATAAATATTGTTGCAGATCATGTAGACCGCTTCATGGCAGCAGGATAATGGTTCCTGCCATGATGCAAACATTGATCAGGAATGATTTGAGGAACATGACAAAGAGGTCAAGGTATTGATTTGACCTCCGACATCTCAACAAGATTGAGCATAGTGGAGAAAAACGAGTCCAATCTCCACCTCCCAGGACTCAAATACATTAAATTCTGCTCACTTCAGTTCACAACGTATGGACTTCTTAAGGTGAAAGTGGGATGAAACACCTCCAACAGAACCAGGGTCAGGGAGGGCAGACGTCTGCTCTGACTGGTTGGGTTGAGGGTAAAAACGGGTAACAGGTAGAAAATGGACAAACGACCCATAGGAGAACAACAAACAGACTTTAAACAAAAACTTCTGCTGATATTTTGGTGCCTGATACCACAGAAGACTTTCAGAAGTCTCGTGGAGTCCTGGCTTTAATGGGCCAGACACAAGATCAGGCAGGTGGTGGCTTTAGTGTTGTGGGCAATTAGTCGTTTTCAAAAAAATATGAAAAATGAATTGTAGGTGAAGGTAACCTCCAATTTATCTTTGGTGTAAAGTGTATGCATACAGTTATACACATGTATGTGATGGTATTCTTGAGTTTCCAATGGCTCCTACAGCTCTTGATTTTCCATGATGGAATCGTTTAAGCACACGTGTCTTTGTCAGAAAAGGCAGTCGAGCTTTTTAGTTCTTCCATAAATTTAGTCTCGGTCTTCTGGAAATATGAAAAAGGTGATATTATAAATTATTATTTTTCGATGTGGAGATTATTTACGGTTAGTTGTTGTTGTTTTTTTTACAGTCAACATGTAAATTAATGTTTTTTTCTTTGGTTTTACTCAATACTATCTGTAATTAACAAAAAGGGGAACATCTTTTTTGATAATTTACCATTTTTCAGTCCTTAATTTACAGAATTTTTTGACAAATAGCTGTCAATATCTTTAAAATAATGATATTTTTTTTCTAATTTGAGTACAGTAAAAATAGTGGAATTTTACAATCAAACATATTAAAAAATAAATTATAATTTGTAAAAGTGCAGATTTTTAATGTGGACAGTAATTACAGTTTTGGCCTGTTTTCTCAGGGTTAACATGTAAATGAATTGTTTTTCCTTTTTTTTTTTTTGAAGGATTTTACAAATAATTATCTTTAATTTAGAAAAACAGGTCAAATCATCCATCCATCCATCATCTATACACTACTTAATCCTCACCAGGGTCGTGGGGGGCTGGAGTCTATCCCAGCTGACTCAGGGTGAAGGCAGGTTCACCTGGACAGGTAACCAGTCTATCACAGGGCTACACTTAGAGACAGACAACCAAGCACACTCACACTCACACCTACGGACAATTTAGAATCACCAATTAACCTCAACATGTTTCTAGACTGTGGGAGGAAGCCAGAGAACCCACGCTGCACAGGGAGAACATGGAGACTCCACGCAGAAAGATCCCGGGTGTCCTCACCGGGACGACAACCGGCGACCTTCTTGCTGCGAGGCAACACTACTGACTACGTTTACAGTGCACTAAGTTTTTGTTATGATAAGACAAGCCGTTAAACATTGACTTGGTCTGTGAAATAGACATTACAATCTGTGCCCAATAGTTTTAATGCCACAATCTTTAAAAAAACGCTTGAAAGCAGATTTAACAGCGAGCCGAGGCTAACTCAGGAAGGGGTCATGCTGAAACTGAGCAGAGGGTGTGTATCCACTTAATGGGTGATACAGGTTTGCTTTGCCTCAGTGGAAATGAGCACAGAGTTATTTCATCTTCAGAGCAGAATGTAGGACTCAGGTCACTGGAGATTTGGCATGTGGCATCCTGCTGAGCTGCACACTAATGAAATGAAATGCATCTGTAATAGAAGTGCAGATGGAAGCTCTGATCTTCACAGCTTTGCCTTGTGAGATTCGTCTCTTCAGCCTCTGTCACAGCCTCGTCCGCGGCGGTAATGGGCGCGAGTGAACTTCAACGCGTCGGGCAGAAAATGATAAGTTGACATTTCATGAGCCACCGGCAAATTCTCGGCTTCGCTGCAAACCACGCACAAAGCATGGCGGCGTGGACGGTGCAGAAACACGTGAACGTGTCTGTATGCAGGGTGCCAACCAGCCGGGAGGGCGGCCCGACTCCTCTTAATAAGACATGAGCCCCCCTGAAAACAGGTTCTGGGAAATTTTCAGAGATCGCTAAAATATTGAGTTTGCTATTCTTGCCGTGCGTTTCTGTCTTTCTGTATCTTCACCATCGAAATGTGATGTTAAAGTATGATCCATGAAGTCGATTCATAGCTAATTCACTTTATTGAAAATACTGGGAATAGTTCAAGAGAGCTTTAATTTTCTGCATGTATATGGGCAGTGAAGTGCAAAGTGACTGCTCCACAAGGTTGTCCAATAACAAGAAATGATAAAAACAGTCCTTAAAATAAACTGAAAGAGAGAGAGCTGCACTCGTGTGTTTGTTATGTGCATGCTTGTTGTTCCTTTTGTCTCCAGTATCGCACTTTTTGCTCATTTTGACTTGAAAAAACGAATACGCTAACTAGTTAAACAAAGCCTACGCTAACTATGCATGGTGCTAAAAGCAGGCAGCTTAGGCTTCTGTTTGTATTTATAGGGATAATTATAAGTAGTGATGAACGATATTAAAATTTCTGGCCGATACCGATATCCGATATTAAGATTTCGGTGATAACCGATATTACCGATGTCGATATTTTGTTCACACCAATAGATGAGTGTAAGTAAGCACTGTGAGAAAACTATTCAAAAGAAGCCCCAATTAGACCACATAGTCTTCTTTATTACATAACAAAAGTAAAACATATTTTATCATATTTTAAGTCCAGAACCATTTAAGTAAAAACATCTGTGAACTAGCAGCGATATCAAAGGTAGAGACGAAGGCGCTAACGTTAGACAATTATCGTTTTTTAAAATTTGTTTATCGTAGCGATATCGATATACAGTCGTCCTCAGATTTATTCAGACCCTTCCATTAAGGAAAAGGCAAAATTCACAATAGTCTAGAAACTAGAAATTGAACATTAGACAATCATCAATTTTTCACATCAGCTAAATTTGTTCATCGGACCGATACCAATATATTGGAAAAAATACCAGCCGATGTGGCCGCCGGTATACCATGCATCCCTAATTATGAGTAAAATATACATAAACGATGTGCTTTGTAAACGTTGCATCCGTCGTTTCTGACTTTAAAAAGTAAAAAACTCGAGCTCCCCTTGAAGCCTCGGTGCAATTCACACACACCAGTCGACACAGTTTATCTGCTTCACACACTCTGATGTGGAAAACCACATTATTAAACATCACCACTGATTTAGCAAACTAACCCTTCAAACTCTCCCGTCGAATGTGTTCTGGCAGATGACATACGAACAACATGCAGCTCAGAGATGTCCGTGGGAGCTGTGGAGGCGAGAGATATCTGCCAGGCCAAATCTGCCTCCGGCTCTGCTTCTCGCATGCTGGAGCCTCACCTCATTTTCATTCCTGGCGAACATGAGACGAGCGTGACGTGTGCGCTTCCACGTGTTTTTTTTTTTTTTTTTTTTTGCGGGAACACAAAGGACGATGTGCACTAACGCCGTTTCCTCTCCGTAGGTGATGATCCTGTTCTTCAATCCCAGCGTGTTCAGATGCGTCCTCCTGAGGTGGGTTCGTCTGCTGGGTTTCTCCATCATGTACGGCACCGTCATCCTCAAGCTGTACAGGTAATCTACAACTGGAAGCTGTAGGATAAAAGAATCACCACATGAGAGGTGACATTTCTTGTATGTTTTATCTCCTTCCTATGAATTATTGCCAACTTTAATACTAAATACTGAAAGCAAAAAGACTAAATATAGGCCTCCCCCCTCTCCTCTCTTCTTATTAACTCGCCTATGAGTTTCTCAGTTTCAATAATTCAACTCTCTCCCGGTCTGCACGCACACATGCATGCATGCAGTCTTTCCAATAAGCACATTTGAATTTCACATCAGGTCCGATCTCCCCGCCTGCTGAAGTGTCTGTTCACGCAAACACACTTCGTGCTCTTCGGCTCCCAGCGAGTTGTTGCTGCTGAGACGGGAGGAGGAGGTCAAAGGCTGACCAGAGTGTTCCCTTGGCAAAATTACCAATTTGATTTTTTTTTTTTTCTCTTTTTCTCCGAGCTCGCTGGGTGGGAAGTGTGCCCTCGGGGGCAAGCTCTTACAGCCCAGTAACACTGAATGTATCACAGATAGATTTGTCACAGTCTGGTCGCGAGACAGCACACGAGCACAATAAATGGAGAATTGACTGTTTATTCTGTACGTCTAGATGGTGGTTTTTCTATAATTGCATGCTATATTTATCCCAGCGTACACCAACTCTGCTTCTTTACTCCTTCCTGCTCTACTGCGGCTAATTATGCTGCATTTTAAATTCTCTTTGCAAATGTAGAATAGTCAGTAAATGCTGTGCAACCTATAAATAAACTGTCTCTGCATGCATTCTCACTGAGGTGTTAACAGTCATCCAGCAAATCTAAACAACAAACTAGCAGCTGGGGGAAACTTTCAATTTTTTCTTCGTATTATGCATTTATTTTGAACCTGCACCCTTGAATCCTTCCTGAAACACACTAAGCAAACATGAATGAGTTGAAATAACAGCGCAGCTTCTCCCTCCTGCGTTTAATTCAAGTGGGCACGTTAATAAGAGCAACAGCCGGAGGCGTGGGTCGTCAGCGGCGCTGAGAACGGCACTTACTCACCTCATCGTGATTTCAGCCTGCAAGCTTCTCGGGCTTCTTCTTCTGTCGCTCCTCACAGGGTGCTGAAGGTGTTTCTGTCCCGCACGGCCCAGAGGACGCCCTACATGACCAGCTGGCGGGTCCTGCGGCTGCTGGCGGTGATTCTGTTGGTGGTGCTGTGGTTCTTGGTGGCCTGGACCTCCGCCGTGTGCCAGAACCCCGAGCTGAGCCGGGCCCTGATCGCCGCGGGCCTCACGCCGGAGGGACTGCAGTTCAGCATGTGTCTGCTGGACCGATGGGACTACATGATGGCAGTCGGTGAGTGTTTCCTGCACTTAGGTGACGTGCGGTGATGTCTTTGGAAAAACATCTTCACAAGAAATGATCTGTACTAATAAAAACTGTAAAGGGTTATAATTCAGGACACTTAGTTCAGAATTAAGGTTAAATGTAGTTTGATAACTTCTAACATTGAGTTGAAAGAGTAAGGGGCAAACTTAGCTTTTTACTAGTGATGCACAATATTAAAATTTCTGGCCGATACCGATATTAAGATTTGTGTTATCGCCGATAACCGATATTACCAATAACCGATATTGTCGATATTCAATTTTGTTCACATTGAAAAATGAGTATAAGTAAACACTGTGAGAAAACTATTCAGAAGAAGCCTAAATTAAACCACATAATCTTCTTTATTACTTTATTACTTATTAAAAGTACAATAAAAAAAAATCAGTACCAAACATGTCGGTGTAACTGTGGGGATGATGAGGCAAATCATCATCTTATTTTTTGGAACTGTCCACTGATAAAGCCATTTTGGGGAAATGTTTGGACACCTGTACAACATATTGTCGGATCCCACCAACGTGTGTGTCACTCTATCTGGGAGATGTACCAGAGGAATTGACAGGAAATGACAAATATCGCTTGAAAACTCTGATTTTAGGAGCAAAGAAGGCAAGCACCAAAAAATGGTTGAAATATGACCCGCCTTACTTTACTTCTTAGACTTAAAAAGGACCTTTACATGGCATGGTGGCAGTTCATCTTCCTCATCTTCTTTGAATGTTCTTTTTTTCCCCCTCTTGCACTCTGTATATTCTGTAAGTATGCTGGCCAAGACAGAAGTGCACAGGCTGTGTGTTACTGTCACCCCCACATCTCCATCCCGTTCTTACAGCCCTGGAGCTCTCTCTTTAGCTTATGTTTGTAAAATGGTGAGTTGATATGGACCGGCAACTATGTTCATGCACTGTGCTGTTGATTGTCGTTGTTGTAAAACTGCCAATAAGATTTATTTATTTAAAAAAGTAAGAACAAAAATGAAACGTATTCTAACATATTTAAGTCCAGAACCATTTAAGTAAAAACATCTGTGAAATAGCAGCGATATCAAACGTAGAGACGGAGGCGCTGATGTTAGACAATCATCGGTTTTTCACATCAGCTAAATTTGTTCATTGGACCGATACCGATACATGGGCCGATGTGGTCACCGATATATCATGCATCCCTACTTTTTACTCTTTAAACAGCAACTTAAAATGACACTTGGGAGTTTCTGTGACTTCCCCCCACAACTCACATGTGACATGAAACACATTCCCAGTAATGTTTCCACACTCCGTCTGCACAGGGGCCTCGTGGTTCAGCACACCGTGAAACCCCAGTCACGCTAAGCAGCCTCACAGAGCCGGTTGTCAACTTGTTAAGTCAGCCCGGGGTTTCTGAGTCTAGATACGAGCCCGTTCGCATAAACAACAACCCGTAAGCCGATCACAAACACCGACAGGACTGCAGCTGCTTACAGGAAGAACAAACTATCCCAAACCAGTATGAGGAATTCGAAAATGTCATGCAGGCTAAAAGCAACACAGATGCAGCAGCCAAAGCAGGAGGCTGAAAAAACCGCCCCATCATTTAGGCATTTAGTCGCCCAGATCTGACGACGATTATTGGTTAAATGAATGTGTTTCTTTAGATGTATTCTTGTGGCGTGGAAGACGACGTAGCCTCATTGTTCAAGCTGAAACTCTGAATGTGTTACACAGTTGTGGGACCAAGTAAAGAACAAATAAAACGATAATTCAAACGAGTCCAACGCCTTTAACAATCCAAATAGCTTTGAAATTCCTTGCAGTCCACAGGAAAAAAAAAAGGAGCAATAAACAAACCTCTGCTTTTCCCTCTTGCTTCTCATGCACCCGATCATCTATGGATGGTGACAACTGATTAGTCAGTAGTCTGGGTTTTTATACGTGCTGATGTCAAACATACCCCGCTCCGTAGCAGATTAGATATTCAGCAGCGATCCACCGTCATAACCTCGTTAAACCCGAAGTTACCTCACTCACCCCAAATCCTGCCTCAGCACACGATAAATATGAAAACGATCGCAAGTAGAAGCAAGTAAACGTTGATGTAAGCAAAGTGCGATTTCAAATATTCAAAAATCTACTCAGCAGATGTTTTCCGAAAAGGAAAAGCACCCAACATGCTCGTCCTCAGATTTATTTATATTTATCAATAAAGATGGGAAAAAAAACACTGAAATAAGTTGAAATTGACAAAAGTACGAATAAATAAACATTTTATAAATATCATGACATTGCTTTTGAATTGTGGTTCAACAAAGACATATATTAAAAAAATAAAAATAAAATAAACAAGCATGATGGGACCCGTAAACCAATATTTTATTACACAACTCTTTGAGTCAGTCACTGTTGTTTGTTTTTTTAAATTATTCTTTTCAACCACAACTTAAAAGCAATGTCTTATTTCACTAAATTATAATTTAGCAAATTTTTATTTATTATTACTTTTTTCAGTTTCTACTTATTTGAGTGACTATGGTGGATTTTGCCTTTTCTTTAATGGAATAATACATCTGAGGACGACTGTACGTCTGTTGTATCAGTGAGTTTGGCTGAGAACACAATACTTTTTAGTCTAAAGCTGAAACTCTCTGGTTGAAAGTTTCAGCTTTAAATGGTGCTGAGATGCTCCGTTGCACCCGTCACTGTGCTCAGAGACGATGTCAGAGTTCTGATGAACGTCCACTGTTGCACCACTGCAGCAAAGTGAGAAGCTGAACCACCTGAGGTCAGCACGAACAAGACGCTCGCTCGTGCTTCTTAAGGAGCATTCATCGCTTTCGTTTTAACGCCGCTCATTTTCACTCAAGTCCTAAAGTGGATGTGAAACCTCATCTAAATGTAGAAATGTACTATTACTGGTATACGCTTGCAACCTTTTTGCTGAGACCGATGGCATTTGTGAAACACACGGCAGCTTGTCGACTCCGGTGTGAGTGGTTTAAAGCCCCGAGGCTCCAACGTGGTCAGAAGGTAAACGGCTGCAGCTCAGGACAAAAAAAAAAAAAAAACTGGACACAGAAAGGCTAAAGCATACTCTCGCCCTCAACAAATTGACTTTCCAATAGCTCAACTGCACTGTTTCTGACTCTCAGGCCTCTCTGAGCTGATGGCGCCGACGGCAAATGGACTGCGCATAAACAGAGACGACCGTTTTAGGTGTCAAACCCAGCCTTGAAATTTCCAGCAATTATCTGTTGTTGAATTGTTGGGAATGATGTCAAACAGACGCAAACAGGTGCAGGTCGGTGGAGTCTTTCTCTTCTGTTGCAGAATAAATAGAGCTGCCTCTTTAAGCAAGACATAAAATGCTTCAAAGCATTGCTGCCTTCACGCCAGATAGCATCATCGTGCTGTAATAGGGCTGTTCATTCAGTGCCCTGCCCTTTCAAAAAAAAAACTCTACTCTCAGGTTAAATTGATGTGAATTTCGATGATAGTGTCCATAGTTTTATTCAACTTTCCTCGCACAGGCAGTTTAATGAGTGCTGCTGAATGTTAAGTTAACAATGGGACGCTCCAGTGGACGTAATGGGGAACCCTCTGAACGGTAACTACAGGGCTGCCGGCAGCAGCACACAGCGAGAAGGGAAGAGGAACCACCACGTCCATCATTTATTAATGCAGCCATTTACCACAAGCAGGTCTTGAGGGAGTTTCTGTCAGGCGAGCTTCTCTAGTTTTAACTGAAACATAATCAATCACAGAATAAAATGATGTCGTCTAGAGCAAATCATACGAGGCTGTGTTTTGTTGTTGTTGGTTCTCAATTCAACCATAATTATGAGCTTAACAACACTTTTTACAGTTTAACTGGACATTAGGATTTGAATACTGGTTTTATTTTATAGCATATAATATAACAAATGGTGCGTACTTTACTAAGCAGCTTGTCTTTATCATTATTCCTGTTAGGAATGCAGAGATGGAAAAAGTACTCACATTCTTTACTTAAGTAGAGATACTTGTGTAAAAGTAGAAGTACTGACTCAACTCCTTTACTCAAGTAAAAGTAAAAAAGTACAGGTTCAGAAATTTACTTACAAAAGTAAAAAGTAAAAATGAATTTTTACCTTCGATGATACACGATGCCTCTTTTGATAACTCTGCAAAACGAAAAAAGTTGTAAGCACACAAAATAGGATTGTTTTCATCCTTTAAGAAGCTGCACAGTGCTGCTACAGAGAAAAACATCACTGGACAGTTTTCCATTTCATTATGAACATTAAACATTATAATCAACATGGAAACACTCGTCTCTTCAAGACTACCAACATCTTTTATTGAGCCTCAGCAGAAGCTGGTTCTCAAAGTTCTGCCGTTTTGAGTCTGAAAATCAGTCCTGCAGTGCTAGAAAGTCTCTCGCAGGCAGCTGAGGCAGGCAGGGCTGTGTTGAGCTTCACTGCTGGGAAAGATGAAGACGTTTGTTGTTACGTCTTTTACCTCATGTCGTCATCCGCAGAGGATAAACAAGTAACGAGCCAGTTTTGAGAATGTAAGGAGCAGAAAGTCCAGATATGTTCAAATGTAGGGAGTGAAAGTAAAAAGTCGTCAGAAAAATTAATACTCGAGTAAAGTACAGATACCTGCAGAATCTAACGAAGTATTTGTGCTTCGTTACTTCCCACCTCTGTAGGAATGTGAACAATATGAATAAAAAACAGATGAGAAGTAGCAGCTGCTGCCCAAATTCTGCACCACAAAGGCTTCTTCTTACATCATTGGTATAAAGAATACTTTTGTTTCTGATCTTTTAATCAAAGTGAGTCAAGGTTATGATACCGCCGCCATGCTTCAGTGGCATCTTCATTAAAGTGAATTAGTGATGAATCGCCCTCATGCATGAATCATACATCGATAATCATCTTTTTATTCAAGATCCGTACTGAGAGCGATGCAGAAAAATCCCAATGCATGGTGGAAAATTGCATATTGTCAATGTTTTATAGACCTGCCCGCAAACAAAGTTCATAAATCATGTTTTCAGGTTTGTCTTAGTGGAAGGATCACAGCAGCTCTATTGTTCATATAGCTGCTCTCAACAGTGAAAGTGTTGCAGCCAGCAGCTCGGTGTGTCTTCAGTAATAAACCTTTGGTGCACGTCTCACATGATGCACAATAAAGTGAAGTTATTGTCTCCCATGTGCCAGAACTGACCTGCACCGACCACAGCGTGCACAAAAAGGCACGTCAAGAGAAACGCCCTCCCCTATTCCCACTAACATGACTTGACCAGAAAGAAGAAGTAGCACCCTCCCACCTTTTCCTGACCTCACCTTCAGCCCGAAGAAGAGTGATAGGAAGGAGTTGCAGTTACTGTCCGTCAAGCATCCCCAGAAGGCCCAGATGGCCTCGTGTGTGCGTTACAGTAGCCTCCTAATGACAGACTCTTGAAGCAGCAGGCAGTGATGTGCACCTCACTGAAGTCAGCCTGACAGCAGGGGAGACTAATCCTGTTTGGGAAGAGGGGAAGGCTGGATCCCTCAGAGATGTTTGGTCTAGCTCTGGAAACTGATAGACAGGCAGACAGAGAGAGTGGAAGTGGCAGGGAAAAAGAAGAAAGGAGCCTGTGAAGTATGAAGCTTGTAGGGATGTGGGCAACGATGCACAGAGAGAGAGAGAGAGAGAGAGAGAGAGAGAGAACTTTAGGGGAAGAAGAAGAAGAAGAAGGGGGGAGGTGGTGGAGGGAGGATAGCTAAGGACACTCTGGAGACGGGACAGCATCTTCAGAGAAAGTGTGTGTTTGTGCAAAAAAAACAAAAAAAAGCAGCCTCCAACAAACACTGCTCTTTAAATGGAGCTAAACACGGAGCGCACAGGAATCCCTCTGTTGTGTTTGCGCGTCAGACGAGATAGGAAATGAGGAAATGAGGGAGGCCTGCTGTTTGCTCTGACAGCCAGCGAGGCGACACCGAGGGACAGGAGGGAACCTGCAAAGCTGCTTTGGTGGATTTTAACAATGGTGCATGTCACGCTGGTGAAAATTAGTCTAATTGCTTTCCTGTGTTTTTTTTGTATTTTTTGCTTGTTCTGTCATAACGCCGACAAGGGAACACGCGTCTGTTTAAAACTGAATAAATCGCCTCGTTCTGTATTAAAATGCAAAGCAAAACGGAGCTGATGCAGAGCGTTATTGATAATGTCAACAATATGCAATTAATGTGAATCCGCAATTAATCTGCATTAGCTGGAATTGTTATCCTTTCCCTCTTGCAAGCGGCTCTCCATGCATCCTGATTCAGAGGCTAAGTACCATGTAATTAGTGATAATTTATAGACGAGGCCTGTTCATGAATATTAATGATCTGTAATCACTGTAAAGAGTTTATAGACTCATATGCCAGCACAGTCCTTGGCACGGTTCTCGGTGCTATTTTCCCGTCTGCAAACAAAAACAAGAGGATAACATCTGACTTTGTGATGTTTATTTGGGATTTTCATATGCGGTACATAAACACTGGAGCTATTTTTATTTGAAATCATATTTTTTTTTGTCCGCCGGCAGTAAAAGATGCAGAATGTTTTCGCTCGACTCTGGAGAGCAACAAACTCACGATATATTAGATTGCTTCAAGACATAATTTCATACCTCCAAAACGCAACAGCCCTGAAGGAATCCTTTTCTTCACATTCCAAAATAATTACTATTGATTTTTGTAACTGATGTTCTTTAAAATTTCATTACACTGACGATTTAGATGATAATGAGCTATCTGTGCGCATAAACTGCACTGTGTCTGCTGAAATATGTTGATAGCTGCGAAGCCAGACAGATTTGTAAATACCTCTTCTCCGTAAATTGCTGTCGGCGGTGTGACCTTGGTGGGGTTCGGCGAAAGCAGCAACGTGTCGACACGTTGTCCAGGAGGCAGCCGCTTCGCTGTGGGGGGAAACGCTGCAAAGGTTTCGAAGTCCTGCAAAATCAGAAGTGTGTCGTCGCCGCCGTCAACACCGGGAGTGTCAAGTGTCGAACAAGGCTGAGGGTCCACTTCATAATGCCTTTCGACAGTAACAGTAGTGCATGTACTGTAAAAACTGAAGTAGAGGAAGATAAGCCAAAGCCACAGACTGATGTTGTGACGTCACCCATTTGTTTGTGGCCACACCCGAACACATACACTTCATCGTCTGTTTTACTCTAAATGGGACCAAAATATACTAAATTTGTGTCGTGCTGTGTTGAAAGAGACCTGAAACTAGCAATTGAGACCCTAAATTCATTAGTACAATATGTACTGAAGTGGTAAATCAATAGAGATGTAGAGCCATATTCTGCAATACTTCTACACAATCTGACTTCTTTTTGCAGCCAGAGGAGTCGCCCCCTGCTGGATGTTAGAAAGAATGCAAGTTCTAACTCACCACTGCAATGGTTTCACTTATCAGTCAGACGTCCATCGGAGGTTTTCCACAAACCTAATTTGTATATGACGAGTTGTGGACAATGTAGCTGAGGGTGAAGTTTGGAGGTGCTGGTGTTAGCTCGCTGCTTCCCGTCTTTATGCTAAAGTAAGGCAATAACCTCCCAACAGCCCTCAGTCGTAAAAATAGCATCGATTTCTCTTCTCACTCCCAGAAATGAAAACTAATGAATGCATTTTGAAAAATGATGGGACTCCTACTATAAAGCTTTTGGGTGAATTTGGCGCATTTTTGTCTCGAAAAACTTCACAGGAGGCATTTCATATCAATTAATCTTACTTTTTACTTACTTACTTACTTACTTGTCCCATTACCGTCTGTTGGGA